GAGGAGCCTAGCTTACCTCACGTTCGTCACGCTGCCCCGCCTACACACATCCTGACAGCCAATGTATCCCGCGCCGTTCTGGTCTTCAGGGCGGACTGTGAGAGGAGCCTAGCTCCCCTCACGTTCGTCACGCTGCCCCCGCCTACACACATCCTGACAGCTCCGCGGGCCGGATTAAAAGGTCCGCCGGGCCGTAGTTTGCCCATTGCTGGTCTAATCCCTTGTTAGAACATACTCTGTGGGGTTGACTTACTAAGACTGGAGTGTGCAAAATCTGGTTCCGCTCTTCACAGAAATCAATCAGCTTTCAGGTTTTATTGCCCAAGCTCAATTGAACAAGCTGAAGTTAGAAGCTGATTGGCTACCATGCACAGCTGCACTATATTTTGCACTCTCCAGTTTTCGTAAATCAACCCCATGTATTTCATATAATATTTTACATTTTCACAATTATTTTTAGAGATGTCTTCCCGCTGACATCATTGATCTTGTAGTGATCTATAAGGAGGTAATTCTTCCCACTGAACACAAGTGTAAGAAGCATTCTTCCCCCTTGAACATCATACTAATGTATCATACGTTGTAGATATAGTCATTTTTAGCAGGGGTTCCCTGAGACCAGAAAGGAAGTTCAAGGCTTCCTCTGTGTTGAAAAAGTTGGGAAAGGCTGCTTGAAAGTATAACTAGAGACAAAACTTACCTTTTCATTTTGAATAGAATAGGGGAGGGTTATAACCAGGGCCTGTGCTTCCACTAGGCAAACTAAGTGGCTGCCTAGAGCACACTACCACCTAGGGGTGCCTGGGCGCAGCACAAGCTGACACTCTCCTTGTGTGGGATGCCACCACAACATGAATAATCCTCCAGCTGAAGGGAGAGGTGGCAGAGGGGAGGAAGAAAGGACAGAGGAAGATGCCAGGTGTCTGGGGCCAGTGTAGCAGCTCAGCTGCCACTCCTTCCAGTGTTCCTCTCAGACTCAGTCCCTTACTGCAAGCCAGCTGGTGGCTGCTGATCACTGTGGAGTTCCAGCTTTTCTCTTCTCATTCATCAGCAGAGGTGCAGCTGCCCCTGTGGAGGAAGGTAATGTCTGACTCTGATGTCTCCTGTCTGTGTGAGTGTGACCTGGCTGGCCATCCATCACATGTGCAATGTGTCAGTGAGTGATGACATCATCACAAACCCAAAGCCTGCTCTTCTAGTGCCTGCTGATCTGTGTGTGTGTGTGGGCTGGGCTGCCTGCTGTCACAGCATTTTATCTCCCACCATTGCTCCAGCCTGGGATCTGTCAGAGTGTGGATCCATCATCCTCCACTCACTGCAATATTTTCTACTGTTTTTTTTAAACATTTTTTTTTTGGGTTGGAGGGAGCAAGTAGCTGGTCTTGCCTAGCATGCAAAATAGTTTACACCAGCTCTGGTTATAACCCCTGTCAGTTTTTTTATTTTTTTGCCATCTGTGTTCCCATTGGAAGGTGTCCCCTCTACTACTTTTCTGGGGACAACCCAAAATATGGGAGTTTCCTTTCATTTCACTTTCAATGATAATGGTAAATAGGACAACTAGAGAGGGTGAATCTCCCTAATGGGACACAGACAACAGTAAAAACCTAATAGGTGTTCTAATACCTCTCCACACTATCCAAAAATATAAAGTTTTTCCTTTAGTTATACTTTTTAGTAAATGCAAAATATCTTTATAAATGTCAAATATTTAATGAAAATGGTATAAAAGATCACACACATATATACCCTTCTTCCACCAATAAAACGTTTTTTGTAAAAAAGAAAATTTGTATGTACTTAATGTAACTTAGTTGTTTTTGATACACTACGTGTGTCCTGTGATATCAGCTTCCCTTTGACTGGTATTCTAGTCACCTTTTTTCTTTTGTATTTATACATGTATGCTGCAGGGACCACACTGACGTAGCATATTTCTATGGTTTAAACCAGTTTACCTCTTTATTAGCAATAAAACTGGCAGGAGTTCTAATCCTTCTCCACTGTATCCATCCACTGGATATCGCATGAGATAAAATACCACATGGTTTCATGAGATAAATACCACTTATTTCGGAAAAATACCCACATGCAGTATTTTAGAAGCGTTTATGAATGCCAAAACATTTTTGAGAAACACTGAGCGGTATTTTACTGCATTTCTTAAAGTGGTAGATACCACTTTGTGAATGGAGCCCAATATGCTTTATTTATTGTGACACAAATACAAGTCCAACAGACACATATGAACCTCAGCACACGCATTTCTATGAACAACGTACCCTAAAGAAGAATTTCAGGAGTATATAATGTATTTATAGTGCAGTGTTCATAGTGCAGTGTTTTAATGCATGCGAATAGTCTGCTAGGCTGGGTTGATCTAGTAATGTAATTGGCTATGGGTCCAAACACTGATATCAATATCTCTGGTCCTGTATGTTATTGAAGGGGTAGGGCTGTAACCATATGTTGCCATGTAGTCATCAGGAAAGTGTTTTTAGGAGATTTTTTCATGGTCTCATGCTACTGCCTTCAACTGCTGGCTAAGACACAAGTTATAATTTCTTTATTTAAATATTGAAGCTGGGGGCAATAATTTATGCATTCAGATATGCAGAAGCTCATAAATGAATACACTTGGCACAGGTCTTGGTGGTTGTGGCAATCTTTATGAGACCAGGAGATCTATAGACACTTCATGCTTTTAGGGTCACAGTGCTTGGCCTAGTCTTTGTGGTTGCCAAGCGAGGCAATCTGAGCTGAAGTGGGAGTGGGTACCAGTCAAAACTCCCTTAAAAAATACTCCTATAGCGGTAGAGGAGGATGGGGGGAGGGGAGCAGAACTTCCTTTAGTTAGTGAAGTTCCGCTTTAAATAAAATGTATATTTCCGGTTCATTCTTTCAGAGCTAATGTCAGGAATGGACTCAGCACTGGTGGTGGGACTCAAATGCCGTGTGGGCTGCAGTACCAGGGCTGACCAGCGGGTGCTTTCAGCAGCCAGAAGCTCACTTCTGTAATCAGCCAAACCTGGGGCTGATTGCAGAAGGTGTATTTAAGGGATGGCCAGACCTGCAGTCTGGGCCTTGGTGTATGGTTTCCCATGAGCCCCTGTACCTGGTATTTTGTGTTCCTGCTTCGTTGCTGACCCTGCTTGATCCTGACCTCTGCTGACCGTCTCCTGTCGAACCCCTGGCTTGCCTGACCATCCTTCTGCCTGATCCCCTGTACCGCGCTGCCCGTGAGTTACTGAACCCAGCTTGTGACCTGACGATTCTCTGCCTGCTCCTTTGGTACCTTGCTGCCCGCACGTTGCTGACCTGGCCCGTCTGACCACGCTAACTACTCTGCCATCCATCCATCCTGCACGGATCCAGCCATCCCTGCTCACACCTTCTGCCTCTTTACATCAGGCTTCCTACCTGCACATACCTCTGGCAGATCCCTCTACCACTAGCAGGTGTACTCAGGGGCCGCGACCTGGTTCCTGTCTGCTCCAAGTCCATCCCCACCATCAGGGGCCCTGGTGAATAAGCAGACTGGGACTTAGACTCCGCGCCCTGGGGAATCCTGCCCTGAGGACTGCTAGAGGTACCACCAGGCAGTCATTACAGAACCCTACAGCCGGCCCGACCATTCCACCTCTCCAGCCCTGACTACGCCTGTATTCCTGCACCTCCTAAAGATTAGTGGAAGGTTGGTTTGTTCACTGTGCGTTTATATATATATATATCTGGGTGGCTAATAATAAACTGTACTATTATACTTTACCTGAAACCTGCGTTTCCCTGTGTCAGTCCACACCTTTCTGGTCACTCCTAGATTCCTGACATCACACCAAGGCCTTTCCTGACCAGAAGTGGCTGCACAGGGAAGCCATCTTGACTTGTTGTGAAGGATGCATCCTGATGAGGTTATATATTTGTCTGTGCTAGTTTTTGATGACAGAGAATATGCCTATCAGACTCTGCGGGAGTATACCAGGGATCAGCTACTAGAGTGCATACGGGTCGCTCATTCCCTAGTAGGTCAGGACCTAGAGCTCTCTGAGGTGCAACCATTGATTCAGGCTTGTGTTGAGTTGGCTTCATCTAGTACCCCTGAAAGCAGGGATGAATTCCTTCCTCCATTCAGGGTGAGTCAAATAATATCACTGGTATGGTTGTTGGAGGATGATCCGGATTGCTTCTTGGAGCATTATTCAGCATGTTCACCACATGTGCTAAAGAAGTGTATAAACGCAGTGCAATCTTCGACCAGACAGGCCTTGTGTAAGCTGAGCGTTGTCCAACCCTTACTGCAGACATGGTCAGACTTGTTACACCCAGCCTCAGTCAGCTTGCAACAAACCAGTCCTGTTTCTCATCATTCCTCTGCTCAAAGCTCTTTTCCTGCATTCCCGACAGCACCCCCAGTGACAGCCCAGTATACCCTATCTACCACATGTCAGTACCCTGCTCTCACTCGCTGTACCATTGTGCCAGTTGACTTGGTGCCCGCTGTCGTGCCAGTTGACTTGGTGCCCGCTGTCGTGCCAGTTGACTCGGTGCCCGCTGTTGAGCCGGATGACTTGATGCCCGGTGACTCGGTGCCCGCTGTCGTGCCAGTTGACTCGGTGCCAGTTGACTCGGTGCCCGCTGTCGAGCCAGATGACTTGATGCCTGATGATTCGGTGCCCCTGTGTCGTGCCAGTTGACTTGGTGCCCGCTGTCGTGCCAGTTGACTCGGTGCCCGCTGTCGAGCCAGATGACCTGATGCCTGAGGACCCAATGCCCGCTGTTGAGCCACATGACCCGATGCCTGATGACTCGGTGCCCGCTGTCGTGCCAGTTGACTCGGTGCCCGCTGTCGAGCTTGGTGACCCGGTACCCGGGTTCTGCTAGATGGCTCGGTGCCCGCTGACATGCCCGGTGACTCGGTGCCCGCTATCGAGCTTGGTGACCCGGTACCCACGGTTCTGCTAGATGGCTCGGTACCCACTGACATGCCCGGTGACTCGGTGCCCGCTGTCGTGCCAGTTGACTTGGTGCCCGCTGTCGAGCTTGGTGACCCGGTACCCGCGGTTCTGCTAGATGGCTCGGTGCCCGCTGACATGCCCGGTGACTCGGTGCCCGCTGTTGTGCCAGTTGACTCGGTGCCCGCTGTCGAGCTTGGTGACCCGGTACCCGCGGTTCTGCTAGATGGCTCGGTGCCCGCTGACATGCCCGGTGACTCGGTGCCCGCTGACTTGCCAGGTGACTCTGTGCCCGCAGTTCTGCTAGATGGCTCGGTGCCCGGTGACTCAGTGCCCGCTGTCGTGCCAGATGACTTGGTGCCCGCTGTCGTGCCAGATGACTTAGTGCCCACTGTTGTGCCAGTTGATTCAGTGCCCACTGTTGTGACAGTTAATTTGGTGCCTGCTGTCGAGCTTGGTGACCCGGTACCCGCGGTTCTGCTAGATGGCTCGGTGCCCGCTGACTTGCCAGGTGACTCTGTGCCCGCGGTTCTGCTAGATAGCTCGGTGCCCGCTGACGTGCCCGGTGACTCGGTGCCCGCTGTCGTGCCAGATGACTCGGTGCCCGCTGACGTGCCTCTGCCCGCTGCACAGCCCAACATGCCAGCCCCTGATGTCCAGCTAAACTGGCCCATAACTGATTCCCAGCCTGCTCCTGGAAATCCTGTGCCCAGTGACCTGCCTTCCTGGGTTCTCCTACACAAAGAGAAGTCTACCAGCAGAAAACCCAGCCAGCCGGTTTACTCCGGCGGTAGGATATTCAGCCAGTTACCTGACCCGGGCGGTGGAACATTTTGCCCACTAAGGACTGTTTGGAGCGTCCTGAGGCCGCTCCTTGAGGGGGGGGTACTGTCAGGAATGGACTCAGCACTGGTGGTGGGACTCACCTGCCGTGTGGGCTGCAGTACCAGGGCTGACCAGCGGGTGCTCTCAGCAGCCAGAAGCTTACTTCTGTAATCAGCCAAACCTGGGGCTGATTGCAGAAGGTGTATTTAAGGGATGGCCAGACCTGCAGTCTGGGCCTTGGTGTATGTTTTCCCATGAGCCCCTGTACCTGGTATTCTGTGTTCCTGCTTCGTTGCTGACCCTGCTTGATCCTGACCTCTGCTGACCGTCTCCTGTCGAACCCCTGGCTTGCCTGACCATCCTTCTGCCTGATCCCCTGTACCGCGCTGCCCGTGAGTTACTGAACCCAGCTTGTGACCTGACGATTCTCTGCCTGCTCCTTTGGTACCTTGCTGCCCGCACGTTGCTGACCTGGCCCGTCTGACCACGCTAACTACTCTGCCATCCATCCATCCTGCACGGATCCAGCCGTCCCTGCTCACACCTTCTGCCTCTTTACATCAGGCTTCCTACCTGCACATACCTCTGGCGGATCCCTCTACCACTAGCAGGTGTACTCAGGGGCCGCGACCTGGTTCCTGTCTGCTCCAAGTCCATCCCCACCATCAGGGGCCCTGGTGAATATTAGTGGAAGGTTGGTTTGTTCACTGTGAGTTTATATATATATATATATATACAGTCATGGCCGAAATTGTTGGCACCCTTGATATTTTTCCTGAAAATCAAGTATTTCACACAAAAAAGGTATTGCATTAAACACATGTTTTGCTATACACATGTTTATTCCCTTTGTATGTATTGGAACAAATATAAAACAGAGGCAGAAAAGCAAATATGACATAATGTCACACAAAACCCCAAAAATGGGCTGGACAAAAGTATTGGCACCCTTAACTTAATATTTGGTTGCACACCCTTTGGAAAACATAACTGAAATCAGTCGCTTCCTATAACCATCAATAAGCTTCTGACACCTCTCACCCGGAATTTTGGACCACTCTTCCTTTGCAAACAGCTCCAGGTCTCTCTTATTGGAAGGACACCTTTTCCCAACAGCAATTTTAAGATCTCTCCACAGGTGTTCAATGGGATTTAGATCTGGGCTCATTGCTGGCCACTTCAGAACTCTCCAGCGCTTCTTTGCCATCCATTTCTGAGTGCTTTTTGACGTATGTTTGGGGTCATTGTCCTGCTGGAAGACCCAGGATCTTGGACGCAAACCCAGCTTTCTGACACTGGGCCCTACAGTGCGACCCAAAATCCTTTGGTAATCCTCAGATTTCATGATGCCTTGCACACAGTCAAGGCACCCAGTGCCAGAGGCAGCAAAACAACCCCAAAACATCATTGAACCTCCACCATATTTTACCGTAGGTACTGTGTTTTGTTCTTTGTAGGCCTCATTCCGTTTTCGGTAAACAGTAGAATGATGTGCTTTACCGAAAAGCTCTATCTTGGTCTCATCTGTCCACAAGACGTTTTCCCAGAAGGCTTTTGGCTTACTCAAGTACATTTTGGCAAACTGTAGTCTTGCTTTTTTATGTCTCTGTGTCAGCAGTGGGGTCCTCCTGGGTCTCCTGCCATAGCGTTTCATTTCATTTAAATGTCGACGGATAGTTCGCGCTGACACTGATGCTCCCTGAGCCTGCAGGACAGCTTGAATGTCTTTGGAACATGTTTGGGGCTGCTTATCCACCATCCGGACTATTCTGCGTTGCAATCTTTCATCAATTTTCCTCATCCGTCCACGACCAGGGAGATTAGCTACAGTGCCATGGGTTGCAAACTTCTTGATAATGTTGCGCACTGTGGACAAAGGCAAATCTAGTTCTCTGGAGATGGACTTGTAACCTTGAGATTGTTGATATTTTGCCACAATTTTGGTTCTCAGGTCCTCAGACAGTTCTCGTCTCCTCTTTCTGTTGTCCATGCTTAGTGTGGCACAGACAGACACACAATGCAAAGGTTAAGTGAACGTCTCTCCTTTTTATCTGCTTTCAGGTGTGATTTCTATATTGCCCACACCTGTTACTTGCCCCAGGTGAGTTTACAGGAGCATCACATGCTTGTAACATTCTTATTTATCCGCAGTTGTGAAAGGGTGCCAATACTTTTGTCCAGCCCATTTTTGGAGGTTTGTGTGACATTATGTCGAATTTGCTTTCTTTCCTCCCTTTTTTTGTTTTGTCCCAATACACACAAAGGGAATAAACATGTGTATAGCAAAACATGTGTTAATGCAATACGTTTCGTGAGAAATACATGATTTCCTGGAGAAATATCAAGGGTGCCAACAATTTCGGCCATGACTGTATATATATATATATATATATATATATATATATATATATGGGTGGCTAATAATAAACTGTACTATTATACTGTACCTGAAACCTGCGTTTCCCTGTGTCAGTCCACACCTTTCTGGTCACTCCTAGATTCCTGACAGCTAAATTGTTACGTTTTCTCACCCAACATTTTCCCACACTGCGTTCAAAATGCACTGGGTGTGCAATCTGCTGAGGGTGTCAACAGGACCAGATTTACATCTCATGAGCCTATAGGCAGAGAAATCTCAAAGCGCCCCCCACCCCCCACCCCCTGTTGCTGAAAAAAAGACAGTAAGACCTACTTTTTTTTTTTGGATAAAATATTTTTATAAAAAATATAAATTTTATATGTGTAAAGGGGAACACCGTGGACTTTGATGTAAAGGGGAACACTGTGGACTTCGATGTAAAGGGGAACCCTGATGTGAAAATGTCCAAATTGGGCCCAAAGTGTCAATATTTTGTGTGGCCAGCATTATTTTCCAGCACTGCCTTAACCCTCTTGGACATGGAGTTCACCAGAGCCACTGGAGTCCTCTTCCACTCCTCCATGACGACATCACGGATCTGGTGGATGTTAGAGACCTTGAGCTCCTCCACCTTCCATGTGAGGATGCTCCACAGATGCTCAATAGGGTTTAGGTCTGGAGACATGCTTGGCCAGTCCATCACCTTTACCTTCAGCTTCTTTAGCAAGGCAGTGATTTCCTTTGTGTATTCCCCCAACCGTGTACACCACTCTTGAGCGCAGGGGACTTTTTTGTTTCTGTGTTCGTCTACAGATACATGCAGTGTAGCTTGGCCCCACCCACCACTCCCTTCTCATATGATTTGATTGACAGCAGCAGGAGCCAATGGTGCCAGCTGCTATCAGCAAAGCCTGTGAGACCAGGAAGATGGGAGAATAACTGCTACAGACAAGACAGCGCTGGATTGAGAATGGACTCAGGTAAGTGTTTAAGGGGAGGTGCTGGGGGAACTAATACTGAAAGGTTTTTAACATTATTGCAGAGAATTAAGGTAAAAAAAAAACCTTTTGTCATTAGAACAACTATAAAGGCAAACTAAAAGCAAAACTTTTTTTTTTTTACCATTATAATCAGAAGTGAAAGTAAAAGACAATCCCAAATTCTAGGATTGTTGTCAGAACAGTAATAGTACAGAAATCTTCCAATGGGGACATTAGATCTGGTGACCCTGGTGACAGCAGGGATTCCATCACTTTGAAGGGATTTCCCCTCACGTCTTGTTTGGCTATGGGACAGGAAGTGAAGGGAAATCTTCCCAATGGGACACAAGTGGCAAAACAAAGAATTGACTGGGGTTATGATCCTCCTTTTCTTGCAGCGGTCCTGTCCAATTGCACAGCCCTATGACCGACAGTGACGGTGGCACAAGACAGCAAGAGAGAGGAAATGATGGCGTTGGCCGGAGGGTGGGGGTAACATTGACACCACTCGCAGAAGTGATCAAGTGGCTGTTCAGCCACTCAAATCTCTTCTGCCTCAAAGGATCATCAACAGAAACCTTTAATACCGGGATGATGGCTGCACCTGCATATGATGTCCTATGGGCAGGAACTGGTTAAGAGAACCAGAAACTATCTCTCCTGCACTCTATGACCCAGAGCAAGGGTGGATGGATGGAACCAGAACTTGAAAAATTTGACCACCAATGCATATAAGGTTGTGCAGTTCTAAACAAGGCTGGGGAAGCCCAACCTTGAAACAAAGAGAAAGCGCACCAACCTTGCGCATTACCTCAGCAAACCAAAATTTTATTAAATTCAGAATACTACACACAAACAACGAAGTAAATCAAGCATGTAAGTCCTTAAAGAAAGTGCGAAGCCTGCTGCGAGCTCTGATGAAGAAGGGTCCCCCTTCGAAACGCGTCAACCGTACTCTGAGAATCTACCCCTATGATGGGACTCGCACAGGCTTCACACTTCTAAAGTTCCTTTGAGGACTTACATGCTTGATTTACTTCGTTGTTTGTGAGTATTATTCTGAATTTAATACAATTTTGGTTTGCTGAGGTAATCCGCAATGTTGGTGCACTTTCTTTTTGTTTCAACTTGCAGGAACTGGTTAAAGCAGAACTATATTGCATCTGCGTTCTACATATGAAGAAAAAAAACGCTATTTATTATTTTTTTTTTTTTTTAGTCAAAGCAAACTCATCCATCTATCCATGTCTCCATGCTTTATTTTGGTGAAAAATTACTTTGAAAAACACCCCAAGTCTTTCTTGAGTGAGGGCAGATAATTCATGTAGCATTTACTTCCTGAAATTCATCTTTCCCTAGCCCAGGCATGTAGGCAGGAGGGTGTTCAGCAGAGAAATCACCTC